CCGGTGTAGACAGCTGAGATTTGTGTTCTGCAAAAAAAGCCCCAATCGCGAAAATGGCGATCAGGGCTTTTTTATGCAAAAGTGCATCTAGATTGGCCATGGACACTTTTCCGCAAAAAGTGCTTTTGCGGAAAAGCTTCTGTGCCAATCTAGATGCTCTTTTCCACAAATGCTTTTAACGGAAAACTTTTCCGCTAAAAGCATTTGCGGAAAATCATGCCAGTCTAGACGTAGCCACTGTGTCTGGGTTTAAAACACTATGGGAGGACATTTAAATCTAGAACTAGAGGATTATTTTAATTGAATATCAAACATTTCTATTTGTATTCTATTTTAATGGCAAAACCTCAATTCTGGGCCAGAAAACAAGTTAGAATTTGTGGAAGACAGCAATATCCCTATTGTAACCTGTGAATATTATGAAGAACTTTTTCATTCTCCGATGCCCACACAAACAGATGTGTAGAGACAGCTCTTCTTAATACCAGTGATCTATTGACAATTATATTTTGGCAATATTCTGAGAAATTCAGTCTGACTGCCATTAGATGTAATCAATTCTTTGAAAATTCAGGGCTTTGAGAAAAACTTTGCTTCTTGGCCCAGGGGAACCAAGGTATACTGGAGATAATACGATTTTCATGGTTTGAACCACACTGTGAATCTCAATATCCCAAGCTTTCGGGAAGCTCAGACCTGAATCCAAACTTCATGGCTTGCCCCATCTCTTTAATGGGGTGAATCAAAACTTGTAAACTCTTCACACTTCCTGTCTCTGAGAAAATTGGGACCTGGACCTGAATAAGGCAGCTCAAATCTATCACTGGCTCTGAAATAAAACCTCACAGACTCACATTCTAAACAATGTTACTATCATCTCAGAAGCATTCCTACCTTTTAGAGTTTCATCAAGCAATGTCTGAAATAAAATGGCTTCATAAACATTCTCTACTTGTACCACTCTGGTGTAATCAGCAAAGACGTACTGTTCATATTTCTGCAACTCCTGTGCAGAGACACAAAGAAAGAATAAACGTATAAAAATGTGACTCTCTGGAATCCTCAAGGTTTAATCAGCCCAGAAAAGAACCCTGTCTGCTCCTATGTGAGAGATCTTTTCACAACAACTGCTAAATGAGCTGCATATGTTCACAGCATGCTTCCCATTTACCAGTATTCTTTATACCTCATTGCCTTAAGCACGCTAAAAAAATAATGTATCCATCCAGGGGACTGAAGTCGATGACCTCTCGAGGTCCCTTCCAGTTCTAGTGTTCTATGATTCTGTGAACTCTTACATTCTAAATAATGCAGCAGGTGAGAAAGTGACTAAGTCTATACCTGTCCTCTGAGGCAAATTCATCAACCCCATCAGGGTACAGGGTACTCAGGCATTTGTGACTGGGGTACAGCATGTGTAGCTTAGTGGTTCATATACAATCCAGCTAGGTAGCAACTGAGTAATCACTAAGGTTAAGATTTTGTCTCAGTTATATTTAGTGAAAGTTATAGATGGGTCAAGGGCAACAACAAAAAATTCACAAAGGCTGAGCCGAGCCCTGCTGCAGGAAAAGGGGTGGGGTCCAGAACCCACCACAATAACAGCTGGAAGCACTAAGGTTCCTCTAACATCAAAAATAGCTGTGAGTTCGGGGGTGAGCCAGGTGCCCAGTCAGTTTCTGAGAGCTCAGAGTGGCTCACAGCTTTAGGGCCGGTGGCTTGGAGCTCTGAATTCCCCTGACACCTGCAGCAACTCAGAGATCCAGAGTCTCCGCACTGCATGTGGTGTCTTGGAACTCGGGGGTTCTTCCCACGGTCCCTGCCAGCTGTGACAGCTCCAGCCCTGCCACTCCAGGGATGAAATGAAAAATGTCATGGAAGTCACAGACTTAATTTTAGCCTTAGTCATTACCACCTGGAATAATTCCCATTACCCCCATTACACAGAAGAGCAGTGACTGGGATTTGCATAGGACTGTGTGACGGGGTGGAGCAACCCCGCCACTCGCCAGCGCCACCAGAAACGGCCGGCGGCAGGGAAACGAACGCTACGGGCTGTCCGCAGGCCGTCCAGCCCCGGGACGCCTGAATGATGAGGAAGCGGCGCGTCATCATGGGGCGCCCGGGCGCGCCGTTGATGACGTCACGGGCGCGACACCAGAGGGGGAGGGGGAAACCCAGAAGTGCGGGACAGAGAGTGAGCGGGGTACAAAGGGAGCCGGAGCGGCCAGAGGGGGGTGGCCGGAGCCGGAGGAACCCGGTGGCAAGGGCAAGGCGGAGGTGAATGAGAGGCCCGGACAAGGGGGAGACGCGGAAGGCAAGGACACCACTGGGACTGGAGGGTAACTGTCGCGGCCAATGGCTGGCGGAGTGGAATAGGACCCAGGGCGGGCCGTGGAACCCGGGAGCAGGTGTGTTTGGGGTTAATAACCCCCCTGTTACCACTGAGAGTCACACTCTCAGTGTTAGGGCCCTGGGTCGGGGTCCGGAGAGAGGGTGGGCCCGGACCCCCCACTCCGCCTGGGAGGCACTGAACCGGGCGGTGACCGGCGCAGCTCTGAATATCAGCGGGTCGGGGCGTCTGACCACGACCCCACCCGGTGACAGACTGCCAAAAGATTTCAGAAGCTAACTTATTTATTTGAATTCTCTCTCCACCCCAAATCAGAGCCACATCTTTTATCCTTTCACCACCACCAATACACCAAACTGATCACCCTCAAGATCATTTTGGCCATATGACCAGCTACTTAAGATAACCATCTGTGGCTAATTTGCATTAGGTGGCCTAGTATATAGCTATCAAAGTGTTAATTCTGCCTTCCCTTTCATTTTTTTTCCCAGTGTGGAGCCATAAAGTTACTTACTGGTTTGCAAGCTGAAGCCAACGTCTTCTGCATTGTGGGCAATGTGATCTGTACCAATGCTTCCTGAAATATTTTCTTCCGTATAGTGCTGCTGTCATAATCATATTGCTGTTAAAATAACAAAACGCAGTTAGAACACTTAATCATCCATACAAGTAGTTTGTGCCCATTGGCCTGTTCCTGCTCATGGGCAACCCAAATAATATGGATTGGTGTCTTAAAAATCAATGGTTGAGGACTTCAGCAATTTGGTCCCAGGCCATGGGCCTATTAAAGAAGGCTGGGTCAAGTTCTGTTGCCTGTGATGTGTAAGAGGTCAGACTAGACGATCATGATAGTCCCTATTGGCTTTAAAACCTATAAGAATTCATATGAGCACTTACAAATTTGAATGTTCATTTAATTTCATTAATCTCTGTAAAAATCTTGTAAGAACAGGTTCTTATGTGAGATTTCTGGTACTTCTGTTTCTCTCTGAGCTAGAAACACCATGAGAACTGCCTCTCTCATAGTACTTCAGCATTTCCACTTCTGGGGCAAGTTAGAATTTAGGGAGCAGATCCTCATTGGGTAAAAATTGTCATAGCTATACTGAAGTCAATGGAAAATTTACACCAACTGAGGATCAGTCCCTAAAAGTGTTGCATGCAAATGAAGTGTACCATAAATATTTTTAAATATTAGCCAAAGTCTTTTGAACTTCAAAACATGTTCCAATTTGGGCCAAATTTTATACATATGATTTGTTCATAGGTACTTGCATACGATGAGACTACAGAAAAGCATGGTCCAATGACCTGAGTATAGGAGTAGGAAAAACAGTGTTACTATTTGACGTCATTGTATCATATAAGTAGGACTTAATTCTCCACTGCATAGCACCTGAAGTAGACATTTCAACTTCTGCTAAAAGCTAACAAATTAGCATTCTCTAGTCACTGATGCCAGAGATAGCATTTTATACCTTTTTTGCAAAGGGACAGAAAAGGTACAAGGCAGTTAAGAATCTGGCCAGTTACTGAAAACAAGTAGATGCATCAAAATATTTCCCATTAGATAGTACAAAACCCATGTCTTCTCATTATTAAAATAATATATGCAAAAATGACTTCAATTTATTACAAAAAGACACGTAAGAAGATCCCTTAATATTCTGGTACAGTTAAAAGTTTTTACCTTTAGTACTCGCAGTTTGACTTTTTCAATGGCAGCTGGCATTTTCACTATATCTCCTTGGCTGCTCAGAGAGAGAAGTTGTTCAAAAGTATACACTGCATTTTCCATAAGCTAGAAATAAAGACAAAAGTGATAAAGACATAACATTAAAATGGCCATACTGTTAAGCCCACTCCTGCTAAAGTTCAGGGCAAAATTCCCATGACTTCAAAGCAAGCAAGATCAGCTACTATTAATGATCCCTAATATTTTTAGATGGACTTCAGAAATACAACATTTCATCAGTTACAAGTTCTTACAGGCACAAATCGATATTATAAATGTAATTGGTTTTAAAGTGTTTTTGTGAGGTGGAGGTGGGAGAGGTGAAAAGTACAAACCTTAAAATCAAGTAGAAATGTTTTCAGCATTTTTTAAAACAAGATTTAAAATATCAGTGCAAAAAAGGAGTATCAATTGGATTTGAGCGCGCTTTGGGGACTGGAAAAGCAAGAGAACATATATTTGTACTAATGCAAAAGAATAAGAAAATGGAGCTTACTCAGGACAGGTCTACACCAGAAAAGGTTTTCCAGAAGAACTATACAGATATAGCTCTAGTGGGAAGCGCTCCAAGTGCAGACTTATATTAGTAACAATACAATACAATAAAATAAAGACATACTCTTCCCAGCCATCCTTACCTAGCAGCAAAAGTTCCTAACGTAAACCTTGTCTGATGTCACCATCCAAGGTGGAGACAATAGGGATGTAAAAATGTGTTTAATGATGTAACCGTGTTACTGCTAAAAGTCATAGTGGTTACACGCACTTTATACTGCCCACAGCAAAGCCTCCTTGCTGCAGTGAAGCCATCTCCCATTCTCTCCAGGTAGAGCTGGTCTTAGGGGTGAGTGAGCTGAGCGGCTGCCCAGGGCCGCCATTTTCAATGGGCCGCCGACAGAGCCGGTCTTAGGGGAGGGCCGCGATCGCATTTCAGCTTGAGCTCCCGAATCCTCCCCCCAGATTTCCCTGGTTACTCCCCGACCCTTTTTTTCCCCCTTGCTCAACAAATTTTCCCTGGTGGTTTTTTGTTGTTGTTGTTGTTTTGCTTGACGATTCTTTCTCCGGTATTTTTTTTAAAACTATCTGGCAACCCTACAGTGAGCCGGGCACTCGCCTGGGGCCACCAATTGGTTAGGACTGGCCCTGTCTCCAGGAGTGGGCCCAACAGCCTCCCAAGGAGCCAGGGTGTAACCTGTGATGGGAGGAGGATGCAGGGGCCTGGCCAGGCATGACACAGACAACGGCTGCTCCAGTGGGCCCCATGGGGCTGCAGCAGCCCCATGTTTGGGGCAGGTGGGGAGCTGCTCCAGTCCCTACCAGTGAACTGGAACCAGTAAGCCTCTCCCATTTTACATCTCTATTAGACAACAAATTATGAAAGTTAGAGTTGATTCAGGGGTCTGTTTTCAGGGCTTGAGAAATTATCACGCCATCCAGTGGCATATTAAAAATTACTCTAATTTGGAGAAACTTCATTAACAACAATTTTGCAAATGAAAATTATTTGTGCTTTATGTTTTCAACATAATTTTTAAGGGAAAACAGCCATGGCTGTAGCCTTCATTGAAAAAACCAGCAGACTGGGGCAAGGAGTGTTGCAGAACAGAGAAAAGCAGAGCCTAGCAGGATGGCGGAGCAGAGGCCCAGTGGGCTCTCTAGGTGCTGACAGTGGAGCCCTAGCACCCTGGAAGCGGGCAGCAGGGGGGAGCAGCCAGAAGCAGAGCCTTGGAAGGCCAGCCATTTGGAGGGGAGTCCTAACTGGCCTGCCAGTGAAGTGGAGAAGAGCCCTGGCTAGCCGGTGGAGGGGAAGGGAGGCCCAGCCATTTGGTCAGGGCAGTAGAAGGGAATTATGGCCAGCTGGCCAGTATAGGGGAGCTCTGGTGCCCCTGGTGAAAGGGAGGAGCTGATGACCTGGCAGCCAGGAGTGGAGGAGCTGGCATGACCTCCCCTGGTCTGGCAAATTCCCTGGTTCAGGACTAGGCAGGTCCCAAGGGTGCTGGACCAGGGAGGTTCAACCTGTAGACATATGCATTCAAGTGCATGTATAGTCAAGTACTGCGCATTCAACAAAATGAACATTAAAACTGAAGGTATAATTGCAGAGACCAGCAGAAAAGTTTGGCCACTTGTGTTTTGTATGCATCTGAGGATGTTGAGCCAGACACTCAGATGACTTCATTGGAGCTACATTGCTTTTGAATCAGCTAAGCACATGGCCCTTAGTTTTCATAAATGAGCCTGATGATGACAGTAACCCTGCAGGCTTTGAATACTACTTTTTCGGCAACTTTGAAGGAATAGGGACCAGATGCACCAGTGCCTGGCACCTTGTATAGGTCATTTACACCTGCACAAACTTAGTGGGAATTAAGCCAGAGGTTTCTTTTAAACTCAAACAATGTTAATGAAGACATATTGGCCTAGTGGCTTTTTAATGAAAATAAATACATGTCCATGAACACAAAGTGAAACTATTGTTTATTTCTCATGAAAAAAAACAATGGCCTCAATATAAGTGAGCTTCTTGGAACATCTTGTACTCTCCCTTTCAAGCAACTCATGTCAGACTTCTCTGCCAAAACATTCTCTTCCGAGAAAATTTGGCTTTGCTTGTATATTTTCGATATATTTACTCTTTCTCCTGTGTTTCATTATGAACCTCCTTCTGAGACAGGTGTTTTGCCTGAGCAGGAGTTCAGGGCAGTCCCTATTCGAAACATGGGAGGGAAAACAGAACTTGTGTTTCAAAAATTACTTGGCTGCATTAGGTTTTCCTAAAGACATCGATGGTACCTAAGATCTATCATAATCTTCAATGATATTACAACTGGTGGCTTCGACAAAGATTATGGTGTCACAAAAAACAACATTTAGGGGAAAACAAAGGGAAACTGTATGAGGGAACATCTTGTGTTAGTCTGTAACTTAAAAAACAAACAAACTTAAAAATGAGTGGTCCTGTAGCATCTCAGAGACTAACAAAAAAAATAGAATATCATGAGCTTTTCTGAGCACAACCCACTTCTAAAGATGACAAATTCATCATGTGAAGAAGTGGGTTGTGTGCACAAAAAAGCTCATCATACTGTATGAGGTATCAGCTTTGCTGGAATTGGGTTTGCTCACAATGGGTATGAATTTGGCCCTCTAACTTCAGGTAGGGAAAAAGCAGCAGGAACCAACAAAGTTTGTTTATAAGTAACTGCCTGAATGATGAACTCTAGGGAAGAAAGTGTGATATACAGGCAGAGATGTAAACTAGTTTCTGGGATACTAATGGGGAGAGGTGGGTAGGTGTCATATGTATTCATGTGCTACCAAGAGCACTGGCTATGTGAAGCACCAAACCTTATTGGTTCCACTACAGCTAGAGACCCAACAGAATATAATTCTGTGTCACACAGCAGGTGCTTTGAGAGCCCCCTTCCACAGAACTGGATTGATTACATTCTTATAGGTCCCTACTGAACTGGTTACATACTTTATTGGCTACATTATTGAAAATACAGAAGACAACACCAGGCTCTGAGAGCCTACTAGGTCCTCTACTCTGGCAATCACAAGATGTCTGTGTGGCATGTGCCTATTGATCCCAAGAGACGATCTCTGTTCAATGCTCCTGAAGAGGTAAAAAAAGCTAAATGTCCCTGCCAATACACTGTGGAAGGAAGAAGAGGGTGGGATTCCTTTCTGATTCAGAATCAGGCAGGCAAGGACCTAAAGTCACCGTGGTTAAGTATCTAAACCCATTTATCCCCTGAGATAAAATTAGTAGAGAAGTAATTATCCATTTTTCTAATGAAATCCTTTAGTGCCTACCATGAGAGACTAGCATAGTAAAGGAGTACCCCCTCCAATTTCTTGCATAATTACATTTCTATGAGCTTCCATAAAAGACAGTGCTTGAGTATTTAAATGAGGCAGACTTTACTACCAGATTTGTGTGTGCCAAAATTATTTTTACTGCACAAATTTGGAGGCCAGGCTGAGGCACTCTGAAATTTGCCCTAAGAATTTGAGACACTAAGGTTTCACTATTGTGCATTTAGAAAGAATAAACACTGATTTAAAGGTGATGTCAACTGTGATATTCCTGGATTTTGCCATCTTTGTTTTCATTCTAGTCTATTCACTATTCTGTACACGTGCACAACTGCCTATCAAGGTTACTTTGACGCAGAGCAGATGGGCAAACCTAACCAACCTGTTCTTCCAAAGTGGAAAAGTAGATCTTACAGTACCTCTTGCATGAAGTTCTGAGTCTTCTGAATCACAAAATCAATATGATAGAATTTGAAGCGGGTCTTGAGGTCCTGGAGTTGTTCCTGGAGGAGATTGACTTTGAGATAGCAGGGTTCCATTTTCACAGAGTTGAAAGGCAGATTCATCAGCTGGTCCAAATGCTGCATCCCAGTTTGGCGGGGGGGGGGGGGGGAGAGGGAGAGAGAATTACAAAGAAAACAATCTGAGATGTATTCTTAATATAGAAGGTTAGTGATGTTCAGGCAACAATTTGTGGCAGCTCGTTACTCAACCTATTGAACCCTCTGTGTATCTTTGAATAAGATGACTCTAACTGGGAAAAAAGGTTTTATACCTGTTAAGTCTGCAGAGCCAATATAGCTATTGCCAGTTAAGATCTATATAGATCTATATTTGTATTACACATGAAAGCATAAAAAAGAGGACCCAGACTTCTTTTCTTACTTCTTTCAGCTTTGTGGCATCATTTGTCTTCTGGAAGTTCTGGCTGATCTCATTAACTTCTTTTTCAAAGAGCAAACGGACTTCACTGAATCCAGAACTCACTGGGCCCATGAGCTCTTCCAATACGGAAGGCAAAAATGGCTGGATATTCTCCATGCAGCACTTCTCAGCAGGCTCAGAGACTGTTGCTGGGGTATTAAACAATGAGACAAAGACATGTTTTAAGCTGGTAGACTAAAGAATCTAACTGAAAGGGCTGCAAACTGTAGAATGAATTCTACCAGAATACTTTCCCCAGAGGCATTTATGACACTCATCCTCTTCAAACATGACTTGGTAAGGAAGGGAACAGTTTGTGGAGTTTAAATACAATTTAAAGATATTTTCCTGTAGTTCTTCCTGCCAAATTACACTGGCCTGGATATATGGGAGGGCCAGAGGGGGTAAAGAAAGAGAAGGAGAAGGAGGAGGAGAAGAAATATAGGCAGGTATTGGCAAGTACTGGAATGATTGCAAATAGCATAGTCATTATGACCTATCACACACTGTATTGATTTACATGGCAAGGAAAATGATTATGCTCCCTTGTACCCACAAAAATGCTTTGAGGTTTTTGAGTTTTTTTTAATAATTGCCTAAATCTTCATCTATTTCTTGTCAACTATTTTTTTTAGAAAGAGGGCTGAAGCAGCATAAGTGAACATTTTGTCTACTTTTTATGTTAATTTACTTATTCTTTACAAAACTACAGTCACTTACTGCGTACAAGTTTTACATAATTCAAAAAGCCGTTTGTTTTAAGTATACTTCAACACCACAGCTCATTTATCAACTACTCATTTATCATTAATCAAAAGTTCCATTGTGGAGCATATAGGCCATATTCTGCTGTCAGTGGTACTCATGTAACTTCTTATATTCTTTATATAATGTTGTGCAGGTGATCTGAAAGCAGAACTGGCCAATCTAATACAAAATTTCAGAAGTGGCTGGTGATTTTGGTTGCCTCCAATTTCAGGAATCCAGTTTGAACTACCTTGGCCTTGACATTGAGAAGGGCTAAGCATTCACGATGCCCACTGAAGACTGTGGAAGATACAGGTGCTCAACGCTTCCTATAAATCAGAGTCTCAAGCTGGGCATCCAAATCAGTGGGCACTTGATAATTCAAGCACCTAAGAGCAATGGGTAATTGTGAAGAACAGCTTCAGAACTTTGGGACATAGGGAGAGGGGCTCCTTTATTCCCACTAACCTTTGATTTTTCCAGCTAAATAATTCTTTGAGCTCAAAATCTGATCCATGTCTGAACGAATGGTTCCTTCTAGGTTCTTTGTAAGGGCTTTACATTCTTCCTTCAAGGTATTTAATCCTTCTGAAACCTGCTCCTGAACCAGATTGTATGTTTCTTCTACAATCTAAAAACAAAAATTAAAGCCATGCATGGCCTGTACATTGGAGAATTGCTATTTGAGATAAACATTGTACAAAGAACAGTACTTACTGCAAACCAAGTCCTCTTCCTATCATTCCTCTTTCCTTTCATTTTAGGCAGGATCATGGTCTGAAGGTTAGGCAGGAGCTCCTCCATCACAAGGTTGCTCAAGATCTAGAAGGTTTAAAAAAAAACAGAATGACATTTTCATTCCTTACCTTTCTGCTGAACACTGGGCACTTGTGGCCGCAGAGAGTATATAACAGTTTTGCTATCCTAGGTAGCCAAGACATCTTCTCATAATATAGCTTTCACAATGTGAAGATGAATTGATTTCATTCAAAGTGAGAGACCATGTTTGGCACAGCGGTTACATTGTAGGGGTGGGGGCTTTATGTTTTCCTCTGACGTATTTGTTATCAACCACAATAAGAAGAGACAAGAAATGTGACTGTGAGCCATGGACCTATTAAGATACTACTGATCACGTTTCTCTTTCCTAAAATATACTGTGTGGTTTTAAAGATCCTCTGATGGATCCTCTGCTGGGGAGAATCACTGGAGCTACTGTGATTTACATCTGCTGAAGACTTGGACTAAAATATTTAGAAGATGAAAATGGTGAGTTTTGAAAATGGGCGCCTTGGATCTCATGCTACCATTACCCCAAGCTGTCTGCATTCTCTGCCACTGCCTGCTCTCCTGGAGGAAGCCCTGCAGTGGAGAGCTTAGTCTACAGAATTACAAGAGGAAGGTTGCACTTAAGGCTAGATAGCTCTACTAAGAAGTCCTTATAAGGGACGCTGGGCCCAACAGAAGAAGTTGTAAATACACCAGTGTGGGGAATCCAAGGATTGTTTTTCCATGAGCATTACCTCAGCAAATAAAAATAGAGAAAGAACGGCTATGTCTACATTAGCAGGATTTTGCGCAAAAGTGGCTGCTTTTGCGCAAAATCTTGCCACCTGTCTACACTGGCCGCGAGTACTGCGCAAGAACACACTGATGTTCTAATGTATAAAATCAGTGCTTCTTGCGCAAATACTCTGACGCTTCCGCTCAGGGATAAGCCCTCTTGCGCAACTGTTCTTGCACAAGAGGCCAGTGTAGACAGGCAACATCAATTTCTTGCGCAAGAAAGCCCGATGTTTAAAATGGCCATCGGAGCTTTCTTGCGCAAGAGAGTGTCTACACTGGCACGGATGCTCTTGCGCAAAAGCATGTCTTTTGCGCAAAGGCACATGCCAGTGTAGATGCTCTCTTACTCAAATACTCTAATGCAAAAACTCTTGCGTTAAAGAGTATTTGCGCAAAATCTTGCCAATATAGACGTAGCCAACTTGTATATGAGCAGGATGTAAACAGCAGCAGAGTCCACAAACTCAGTCTAACCTTAGAAAGAGTTAATACTTACATTATCAATAATGATTTTTTTTCCAGATACTCACAGCATACCCTATAAAAACAATGTCAGGCTGAGTCTTGAAGGACTAGCAGCTTCTCCAAAATTGGATTTTATGAAGAAAGAACTCACCCGTTTAAGGCCATCATGATAATTAATATGAGCTGGATGAAATTTGCTATGGGGTAGGTTAAAACTCCATTGAGTAAATGTGAATTGCCCTTCACTTAACATAGCTTTTAAGATAAGCTGTACGGAAGATAAAAGCTGTGTATAGAGTAGCTATACAACTCACACCAGTGTTCTACTCACACCAGTGAGTTATACAACTCACACCAGTGTTCCAAGCCATTTATTTTAGATAACCAAGTATGGATTTAGGAGTCTAAATTTAGCTATCCATCTTAAGTGCAGTATGAGGCTTGTTCCAGTGTGGTTGTTGCTATGCAATGCTCTGTTTCAACCATTTGTCACAGTAACTGCAGCATCTATGAGTTTATTCACCCCAGATGACAATCTCCTCCCCGGAGGAGGGAAAAGCATACCAAAACGGCTCTCCCAGAGTGGCAGGCAGCTGGTGGTCTAGTCCGCCCTCAAGGGTGGGGGAAAGGGGTTTGGAACATTGCAGAGGGGCAAGGAAAAGGTTTTCAAGCCCCAAAGATGGAGGAGCCATGCAAAAATCTGGCACCAAATTGTACACAACCTTAGTGGAGGTGGACCTGTTCCTCTGTGCTATTCTCTCGGCTCCCCTCCCCACCATTAAAATAGCACTGGTGTTACAAAGTCCCTTTGCTACAAGAACCTACGCTCAAGTTGCTGATTGCACACCCAGTGCACATTTTGGAAAGGGTTCAATAGTGATGCCCTTCGTGTGATTTTCTGCCTGGACGTTATCAGGCAGGGAGGGGAACTCAACGGGTAAGTAGCAGCTCCCAAGCTTCATCTTCCCCTGCTCCTTGCAATACCCACCCTACATTAGGTTCATGTGGCAGCTCTGCTTCGGGCTCCTGGAAACTGACCATGCTTCCAAACTGCTGCTCCCTACATCTGTGGGATACAAGGCTCCTATTCTAACTCTTGCTCTTCTGTGCAAACGTTGCCCTGGAAAGGGGTGGCTGACTCTCAGTATTAGGCTTAACATTTCTTTCAGGCTTTTGATTCCGAAGCTAGTCATTTATCATCTACTATATTTGAAAGAGTTTGTCTGTTTGTTCAAATACACCTCTTAAGTGGTAAGAGCTAGGGCCACCACATCTGGGATTCAGTTTCCTCTTGTCATAATGTAAAGCAAGGTGAGGATTTGGCTGTGCCAGGAAAACGGGGTGTTCCTGGAATGGGACAGAAAAGAGACAGAATCACCAGGCAAATAGAAGGGCTCGCTAGGGGTGCATCCTCCCCCTGTCAAGGACTGTCCCAGCCTCGAGCCTTCCACCTCCCTGGAACCCTTTAGGGAAAGCAGGGGTTGGGAACTGGAGCTCCCGTCCCCCTCCCTTCCCTCTCCCTCCCAAATTCATACTGGGACATTGCTGGCTGTTCCCCTTCATCCGGGAGCAAGGGGAAAGTGCACAGTTTGCTGCATTTCTTGCTCTGGCTGAGAAGTGTAGAGAGCAGATGAACCTGGACCTGCCCCAGCTGGGAGACAAACACCCCTTTCCCCTGCTGTGCCTACTGGAGATGCAGCAGCCATGGAAAGGTGGTTCTTACCTGGCTCCCAGTTGCTGTGGTGGAAATTCACAGAATAGAACAGTGAATACATACTGTGTGCATGCTCTGTGTCGGTTTATAGATAAGAATAGCTTACGGCTTTTTCTTTATTCAAGGTTTCCCTCAAACAACTTCCATTTTCTCACTATCTCCACCATCCTCAAAAGCCACTATGGACAGAGAAAAGGAGATTCTATTGTACCTGAATTTCATTGCCAGTGATCATGTCCCAAGACCCATAGTGGCCTTTCTCCTGACGGAAGAACTGGACAGCTTCTAAAAATGTCCGTGCTTCAGATGTAGTCTGCTTGAGAAAATCTAAAGAAAAAAGAAATAACGAAAATAATTGACTGGTAAATGAGCCCAGAGTGGTTTTAAAGATCCTTTCTAATTCTATTTTATCTGGTTCTACCCCAGCTCTGGGCAGTCTCCCTCCAGGCCTTGCCTGGACTAGAATTTAGAGGTATGACTGACTGCTGATGAGTTACAGTCTGGGCACTGGCCACATTACTGCTCCCCTACGTGACTCCTCCCCACACCACCTCCAGCCTGGGGAGAGCCAGGACACCCCCATCCGCACCTTTTCCCAGCCCTGGCCCTCCCAAGTTCCACCCTCCCCAGCTCTTCCCTACCTCTGCTCCGCCCCTGCCCCACCTCTTCCCACAAGCCTGCTCTTCTGAGTGATGTTGCCCGGGGGGCCAGGAGTTTGGTGCCAGCAGTAGGAGCTGAGCCCTCTGCACTCACTGGCAGGGGCCTTAGCTTGCTCTGCTCCCCTAGCTCCTGGTCACGTCACTCTACTTCCCACCAGTGAATGGGGAGCCCCCACCCCTGAACAACCCCTCACTGCTGTGTGTGAATGTGGGTGGGTCCCAATCCCTGCTGCTGGCACCACGCTTCCCTGCTTGTCTCTCAGGCCACTCAGAGACTCTGTCCCCTCCCATCCATGGCACTGGGAGAATGTGCCCCTCAGGTTGCCCCTGCATGGTAGCTCTTATGCACTAATCCAGTGTTTCTCAACCAGTGGTATGAGTACCCTTAGGGGTACTCGAGAGAAGTCTGGGGGGTAACATCAACATAACTGAAATTTGAAGAAAACAGTTTTTGTTTTAAGTTTTACAGCCCTTTATTATTTTTGTATTTTTCACACCCAAAAATTTCATCACCCGCCTGGCTACAATTAAGTTGTTTAAACAAATGTGTTGAAATGGTAGAAAAAAAGTGTGTGTGTCTGAAAACTGTAGGTATTGGGGGTACTTTTTTTTTTAAAGGGGTACTTTATTTAAAAAAAGGGTGATAAATACTGGACTAATCCAGACACTTCAGAAGTGGTTCTCAGCCAGGAGTCTGGGGTCCCATGGGGAACCATGAGCAGGGTTTAGAGAAGCTGCCAAGCAGAGCCAGCATTAGACTCGCTAGAACCCAGAGCAGAAAGCCAAAGCACCACTACGTGGGCTGAAGCCCAACACCTGGAGCCCTATCACCTGGGACTGAAACTGAAGCCTGATTATCAATATAGCTTTGTGGGGACCACTGTGGCATGGAGCCTTGGACAACTGCCCAATGTGCTACCCCCTAATGCAGGGGTCACCAACCAGTAGCTCGGGATCTACTGCTAGATCTTGGAGCCTCTGACGGGTGATCTTGGCTATTTTGGCCAAGAGTCTATCAAGTGCCTGCACTTCAGTTGCCCCTTCCCCCCCACTGCTGCGCATTTCCTGCCCCTCCCCCAGGAGCCTCCTACTTTCTGAGCAAGGCAGGGGAGGGAGAAGAGGAGTGCTGATGTCAGGGTGCCCCCTCCACTGTATCCTTTCTCCACAGAGCAGAGCGGGGGCACAACAGGGCTTGGGATGGCGTTTGCCGGCTGCTTTGGGCAGTGGGACAGGGACAGGACAGGGCAGGGCTGAGCCTGCCTTAGCCCCACTGCACCACCACTCAGGAGCCACCAGCAGTGCTCAGCTGGAGCCCACCTCCCAAACTCCTGCCCCAGTCATGTACCCCCTCCTGCACGCCAAGCCCCTGCCTTAGCCCTGAGCACCCCTGCATCCACACACCCTCCCAGAGCCTGCACCTAGAACCCCTCCTAAATCCCAACTGCCTGCCCCAAGAGCAGCTCAGAGCCCCTCTCACACTCCAGATCCCTTAATCTAAGACCAGAGCCTGCACCCCAACCCTCTGCCCCAGCCTGGTGAAAGTGAGGAAGGATGGGCACGAGAGGGAGGATGGAGTGAGCAAGGCAGGAAGGAGGTGGAGCAAAGGTATTTATATTTGAGGTAGCTCTTGGGCTTGCATTTAAATTCAAAAAGTGATTTCATGCTCAAAAAGGTTGGAGACCTCTGCCCTAATGCCAGTCCTGGATTTACACTTTTCATTGTGTTAGCTAACACATGCTAGCTAACACAACCTTTTATCATAGAGTAGTTAGGAGTTCATTGAGATAAGTTTTGCTATATGTATCATAACAAAGAAATGGACAAATTAAATAATTAAAACCCCATTTTCCATGCATTATCTGCAAAGACTATTTTTATCCAGTTCGTCTGTTATTCAAAGTTATTTGACGAACCCTTTATATAGACAATCATATAACTATTCATTGCCATTATTTGACCTGCAGTTCATGACCACCCTGGCCTCTGCATATTGCACCATGAGAGGCAGGTTCTAGTGTGCAAAAGGGGGCTGCGGTATGGAAAAGGTTGAGAACCACTGGTTTGGATTATTTGCGCTTCGCAAGCTGCAGATGACCAATCGCAGAGTGCAAATTACAATCACATACTATTGTCGGTGCCCTCTGTCCAGGCCCACCTTGCACTTTCAAGATAGTTGTAATGTGTACTATTTTGTTGAAATTACCTCAGCTGCTTTGGTCCCTGGCTGTTCCAGTCACATGGGAGATGCAAATGGTGCAGCCCTCTCATTGGCGTAACAGCCATAGAATCATAGAACACTAGAACTGGAAGGGACCTCGAGAGGTCATCGAGTCCAGTCCCCTGCCCTCATGGCAGGACCCAGTACAATCTAGACCATCCCTGATAGATTTCTGTCTAACCTGCTCTTAAATATCTCCAGAGATGGAGATTCCACAACCTCCCTAGGCAACTTATTCCAGTGTTTAACCATCCTGATGGTTAGGAAGTTTTTTCCAATGTCTAAACTAAACCTCCCTTGTTGCAAAACAAGCCCATAGCTTCTTGCCCTATCCTCAGAGGCCAAGGAGAACAATTTGTCTCCCCCCTCCTTGTGACACCCTTTTAGATACCTGAAAACCGCTATCATGTCCCCTCTCAGTCTTCTCCTTTCCAAACTTAACAAGCCCAATTCTTTCAGTCTTCCTTCACAGGTCATGTTCTCTAGACCTTTAATCATGCTTGTTGCTCTTCTCTGGACCTTCTCCAATTTCTCCACATCTTTCTTGAAATGTGATGCCCAGAACTAGACACAATACTGCAATTAAGGCCTGATCAGTGCAGAGTAGAGCGGAAGAATGACTTCTTGTGTCTTGCTCACAATACTCCTGTTAATGCATCCCAGAATCATGGTTGATTTTTTTGCAATAGCGTCACACTGTTGACTCATATTTAGCTTGTGGTCCAGTAGGACCCCTAGATCCCTTTCTACAGTGCTCCTTCCTAGACAGTCGCATCCCATTCTGTATGTGTGGAACTGATTGTTCCTTCCTAAGTGGAGTATTTTGCATTTGTCCTTCTTAAACTTCATCCTGTTTACCTCAGACCATTTCTCCAGTTTGTCCAGATCATTTTGAATTATGACCCTATCCTCCAGAGCGGTTGCAACCCCTCCAGCCTTTGTATCATCTCGAAAACTAATATGCGTTCTCTCTATGACAATATCTAAATCACTGATGACGATATTGAAGAGAACTGGTCCCAAAACAGACCCCTGTGGAACCCCACTTGTTATGCCCTTCCAGCAGGATTGTGAACCATTAATAACTACTCTCTGAAATGGATCATGTAGTGGCTCTGTATTCTTCTGGACACACAGGAAACATTCCAACTTCCCTAACCCTGGAGAAATTCCAAAGCACAGATCAACTGCCTGAGCTGTGTGCTTGGATAAGGGTCTGGGCCTCACACAGCACTTTGCCACGATCCTTTGAGAACCAAAAGAGTTGTGGCCTGCATAATGGATAAGAATCACCACCGTGGGGATTACCATCTTGAGGAGATTATGAAGCTACATTAATTAGTTTCCCTTTTCAAGACAGGGTACTTTCAGCATAAATAGTTTTAACCCTACTGTACACATGGGAGTGGGGGACAGGAGAAGTGAATAAGAGGAAGGAGAAGAATGTGTATTGAACTGAAATTAGTTTTGCTAGGTTTTATTAAGGCATTAATATTTATAAATAGTTTTCTGAGGAAGACCAGGCAGTGAATATATAAATGCCTGTAAAATCTTCCATAAGCACATATGCTGCTTTTCATCTCCGTAGAAAACGTCTATGGATTATTGGAACCTCTGCAATTGCACCAAGGACAGACCATAGCTCATACAAATCAGCTGGGGGGAAAAATAGGGACAACCTAAGGATTTTTTTAAATGAAACCAGAGGTAAGTTTTAACACCTAAACAGTCCCTTAAATCCATAGTTTCACACCAAAGGTCTTTACAGACCCTGAAGTGTCTTTCTGGGTTGGATCCAGTCAAGTAGAGCAGGCTCTTTTCCCCGATGGTGTATCTTAAGAGTGGAGTAAGCTAATCAGTTTGGAGAAGACTGCCCAGAACTAAAATGAGACTATTTTTGAGCATTGAAAACATTTGGTTAATATTTTCCATAGCTTCTCTTCACTTTCACATTGGGTGGAAATGAAACATGAAGAGGCAAAGTTGGAGAATGAGAGTGCTGATTTTCTATGAGAATGAGACTGCTCTCTCACTATTTCCAGCACCATTCTGCAGACTGTTGTGTGGGGCCTGGTCTAGCTCTAAGGGCACATTTTCATTCTGCAAAAGATTGATGTGTCCCTTATCAATCTTCTGGAGTTTGATTTAGCAAGTCTAGTTAAGACTCACTAAATCGAACTCAGAGGGCACCCCTGCCGGCATCTGGTATTCCTGCTCTTGCGAAGGGTAAGGAAGCTGATGGATGTGTTTGCTCCCATAGGCCTCCCTGTATGGGCACCGCCAAGCTCAGCTTACATAGTCTACATAGTTGGAGTTGCATACTTAAGCCGAGCTGCTGGGTCTAGTGTAGACCTGGCCTAAGACTGACAGGGAGGGATGGTCTTGGACCACTACCCAAACAATGAGATACAGCCAGCCAGCCAAGATTTTGGATGCCAATCTCAACTAAA